ACGTCGGGCATAAGCTAGAAGTAAGCACTAGTAGCCGTGGATGTGGGGGGCTAGGATGCCATTGGGTCGAGTTTCCGAAACTTTATATTCTCTCACTTGCTCAGCCCCAAACCCAGCCACGGATTGCAGAATATAGAACAATTCCGTGTTGGTACCTGTAGCTGCAGATGATCGCGAGGCTGAACACTGCATACTCCCGATCAATATGCCATTATAGGTTAAGTCAGTCGTTTGTATAGCCTCAGTTCGAAGGGTATATGATGGCCTGTGTTCTCCGATAAGATGCGGTTTTCTAGTAAAATCGGCCAAAGCAATCAAGCGATCCTTCTATTACTCTTTTCTTTCCATCTTGGATTATAATTTATGTTGTGACTTTTGACATTCACATAATGAACGGAATATTTGCAGCTGACCTTGCGTCTTATCTGATCCTCTCGCCGATCGTCGTCTACAATTTCATAACTCACCGATGGACCGGGTTCTTAGCCTGGTACTCCCTAGCCATGTTCTGTTCCGCTCGTGTTATCGGGGGTGCTCTCGGAATTCGCGACGCCAGCAGCATGACAGCAAACATAATCCAGAGTGTGGGAGTCACGCCTCTGATTCTATGCGTTGACGGATTGGTTCATGAAGCGTACGTATATGGCTCGAGATATGCTAGATCTGGTACTAAAATAATGACAGTCGAACGTATCGCTATCCCTATGCTAGCCGTCGCCTCAACTGGTCCGTTGTGGTTGGGACATCAGTCACCATGGTGGGAGCTATAAGTCTCTCCATCAAGGCCTGTCTGGATATTTTCGAGAACAAAGCACAATCCGACGATTATTCATTATGGAAGGCCGGATCAGCCCTGGTCGTTGTTGTTTGGATCTTCCAGATTGGGTGGTCGATTTATTCCCTGCAATTCCATGATAAAGGTATTCAAGGCCCGGGATATCAAGGCGGCACTGCGGTAAGTATTCCATATCTGCTATTTGCTTCTCGAATGATTGCTTGACTAACATGTCGTTGTGTAGCTCCTTCAGGGTGCGCTGGTTGCACTGGCATTTATCGGTGTCCGTGTCATTTACGCACTTGTTGCTGTTTGCACCGAGAGCAAAGATCTTAGTCCGGTCTATGGTCTAATGTCTGTACGCGTTGTTCTCATGTTCCTTCCGGAGTTGTTTGCGACCGTAACCATAATTGTTGTTGGCGTCCGCACCAGGCATCTCCGAGAACTGAAAGACGAAACGGACTATGGAAAGCTTGATGTCGTCCAGCCGACTTCGATTGGCATTGCGGCTTAGCAACGGAAGCCTTCCACCGATTTCTTATGTGAATAGATCGTGATTTCCTTTTATACGGCGTCGCATGTATCTCTTTTCCTCTGTTTCTCCTTCAGTTCGCGATAAAACATGTTAGTATTCGGAATTCAGATACCGCTTTGCAGCTTTTACTCTTCTCAAATCCAACAACGTCAAATCAATATCCCCACCCAAAGTGATCAATCATAGGTCAGTTCGCGTGGCTCTCACACAGCCTCTGACGCTGCGGCGTATCCGGTGTCTGCATTTGAATGGTCGAGCGCTGATGAGCTTAACCAAATGCAGCCCGCTGTAGACTGTACTTATGGGTCATGACCCACACTAAAGCAGAGTTAAACAACCCCGTTTGATATGCTCGTACGGCAGCGTCGAGTGTTGGTTGGAGCTGGGTTTGTGATTGGTGCGGCAGCAAATTGGGCGACACAGTGATCAAAGATGAGAAACATAGCTCTTCCCTCGTGGGCTCTAGCATTTCTGCAAGTGGTGGCTGCGTTGACCTGGGAGTGTTCAACGATGGGAAAGAAAGGGAGCAAACGTGGCCCGCGCCGATCGTTGTCCACCGCTCAGCCTCCGAGCTGGTTGCCCGATTAGGTTTAGTGTGCATACCGACAATTTGGCCCCTTCGTCATATTAAATAAAAGGATCTGTCAGAATCTAGCATTCAATCAAGCTCATCTTCACCGATCTTGTTACTCATTAGGGTTAGCGTGCATGAGTCAGGGCTTCCAAGTGCTCGGCTGTCGTCCTCTAAGGTCTAAATCTCGGCTGGTGTGGGACACTCCGCCCCCAAATCCACTTTTGAGTCTTGAGGCCTTTAGGCCTGGGTTTATTGTTATCCCCACCATGGTATATATTGCCATTCCTAAACGGGTGTACCAGATCGGTGGGATGGGGCTCAGCTTTACAGTCAGTTCAGCCTTGGGTAGCTGTGATTTTGAGTGCACCTGGGAAGCTTAAATATCGAACATTCCCAAGAACATTCAGACCTGTTCTCCATCCTCAATTAACACTATCAATTCATCTAGCAAGGTCTCATTTGGTTCTTACACAGTAATCATGAAGACCTCTGCACTACTCGGCTCAGTTGCCTTGGCCTTCCTGCCTTGTAAGTCCTTTGTGCTTTTCTCTCGATTTATCGACATCACGATGATACTTCGATTCAAGTGACTAATTAACATTGCGTCCTATAGCCACATCTGCTGCTCCATCCCAAATAAGTAGTCGCCGAGCTCGAACGGACATCAGCGTTGAGCGGCGGGCCTTGTCAAATGCCGCAAACCCTTATGCTCCGGTCCATGTTTCCTGTCCGGCAAACCGGCCTAGCATTCGTGGCGCTGCGACACTCTCTCCCGAGGAAGTTTCCTGGCTAGATACCCGACGTGAAAAGTCTCTATCAGGGCTGAAAGAGTTTTTCGGTCATGTTGAGATAGGTTGCTTCGACGCCTTGGATTACCTCGACACAAGCGACTCATCCAGTTTGCCCAATGTTGCAATTGCTATATCCGGCGGTGGTATGCGCGCAATGTTGAATGGTGCTGGTGCCCTCAAAGCATTCGATAGTCGGACTGAGGGTACGGCTGCTCAGGGGCAGTTGGGCGGTCTACTTCAATCGGCAACCTATGTTTCTGCTCTCAGTGGAGGCTCCTGGTTACTGTCTTCAGTGTTCATGAACAACTTCACAACCATCTCCGCCCTTCAGGATACTTTCTGGGACTTTAGTTCCGCATCCATCCTTGAAGGGCCTGCAACCATGGAACCTACCGACTTTTGGGGGAACGTCACAGCTCAAGTGAAGGCCAAAAGGGCTGCCGGTTTTACCACTACTGACGCGGATATTTGGTAAGCCATATACTCATACAACATTCAACCCAAGATAACAGCTACGGGTAGATGCTAACTAATGCAGGGGTCGTGCCGAAGGCTACTACTTCCTCAACTCTAGCCATGGCGGCGTTGACATCCATTGGTCCTCGATTACGAAGACACAGGCATTCCAGCACGGAGGCATGCCACTGCCACTGGTGGTTGTTGACGGCCAGTCCTTCGCGGACGCCAACGACGAGCCCGGTGAAGACAAACCCATCTATGAAGTCTCGCCCTGGGAATTTGGAACTTACGACAACAATATGTATGGATTCGCACCACTTGAGTACTTGGGAACCCGATTCGTGAACGGCCAGGTGCCCGAAAATGAGACCTGTGTGCGCGGCTTCGACAGCGCTGGATTTATCACCGGAACGTCCAGCGACATTTGGAATGAAAACGGCGCAGACATTGCCGCCACCATACGTGCTGCGATAGGGGATGTTTCAACTAACACCACCGAGGGCGCTTTGGAGGTAGAACTGCTCTCGTACATCCTCGAGGAAGTTATGGGCGCTGTCAGCTCCAACAACACCGCCACCAGTGGCCCAGCTGCCTACGAGCCCAATCCTTTTTATGGATACAACGCGAACACCTCGCCTTTTGCAAACACTACAAGACTGACAGTGGTCGACGGCGGTGAAGATGAAGAGAATATTCCCCTCAACCCACTCATTCAGAGGAAGCGTGATGTGGATGTTATCTTCGCCATCGACTCCAACAACAATGATGCCGGCTACAAATGGCCCACTGGAGAGTCGCTTATCGCTACTTATGAGCGTACTCTTGCTGGTTACGCCAATGATACTTCGTTTCCTTCCATCCCGGACGGTAACACCTTTGTCAATTTGGGACTTATTAGCCATCCCACTTTCTTCGGCTGCAATAGCTCGAACATGACTACACCTGCTCCGTTGATTGTCTACCTGCCTAACCACCCCGTCACTTATATGTCCAACACGACGACTACGGATACGACTTTCAATACCACAGCCCGTGACGCTATGATAACCAACGGATTCAATGTTGCGACTCAGGCTAATGGCACTCTGGATAATGAGTGGACTACCTGTGTGGGTTGCGCTGTGCTTAGTCGTTCGTTTGACCGGACGAACACACCGGTGCCTGCTGCCTGTGAGCAGTGCTTTCAGCGCTATTGCTGGAATGGTACGCTTGATACCAGTACTCCAGCGGTCTATGATCCGTCGGTCATTTTTCCGTCTGGTTTGTAAGCATTTGAGGAGATGGGGTTATTGATGGACAACCCCGAGGACGGTGCTGCCGCTTGCAGGCAAGGAGAAGATCCCTGAACTACTATAGATTGCACATATTGTGATGTTAGATGTAATATATGCTTCATTTTTCATTCTTTTATTTTTCATTAATCTATTTCGTGGCAAATACTTGAAATGAAATATTTTCTTATATTCGTACGGAATTTTGGAGCCGGTTTGTATTATTTACGCTACGCAATTTCCAAATCATTAAGTGATGATCGTATCGCAGAACCTCTTAACGCACCCCCCGCTAATTCGGATCCATTGGTCTCTGTCGGTGCGCAGTAGCCAGCGCGTAACTACCTTCCAGCTAGTTTCCTTCCACCTATCAAGATCTGCCATGCTGCATTAGCGGATAGACGGGTGCATCGCTTTATGATGTGGCACGGCGCTTCCTCCAACGACAGCCGAATACACGAGGCTAAGTATGCAAGCCGGGGTCTTTAAAGGCCCGCTGATAACACCTAGCAATGTAATGAAATGAATCCTCTATATACAGAGTTTTTTAAGTTCCCCTCAAGCGATATATTCCTATCCCTAACAGGCTATCCCAATGAGCCGATCATCCTCCCTCGACGTCAAAAGTTTCACGGTCGGCTGGATCTGCAGCCTTTTGATCGAGTACATCGCCGCCTGCAACGTCCTCGACGAGACTTTCCCAGACACTACACATGTTCTACTAGGGAAGGGTGACTGCCGTGCTTACACACTGGGCCGAATCGGGAAACACAATGTCGTGATAGTCTGCCTCCCAGCCGAGTCCCCAGGCGTGGTATCTGCATCCGCCGTCGAAACAACCTTGCGAATTACCTTCCCTTCAATCCAGTTCTCACTCCTGGTCGGAATCGCTGGAGCTGCAGCTGGGTCAAAAGAAGATGTGCGACTGGGCAATGTGGTCATAGGAACTAGGATCGTCCCGTACGAATTCGGAAAGGTAACCCATCATGGGTTCCAATATACGGGACATTGTCCCCGGCCGCCGGCTATTCTTCATAATCGGGTGAATACTTTTAAGTATAAGTCTCTACTTGAGTTGGATATTGGCCATCTTGTTCAGGATAAAGCGCGATTGTTGCCTATTCCGCTACGGCATTTGTTTCGACGTCCGGAGTTGGAGGATCGTCTCTATAATTCCGATTATGTCCATGGTGAACATTGCGACTGCCAGAAAAGAACGGTTTATGATTCTTCTCTTCTTGTTGCTCGTGAGCCTCGGCTAGGGACTAGTGAGGTCAGGGTTCACTCGGGGACCATCGCGTCCGGGGATAAGCTTATCAAGAATGCTCAAACACGCAACGACTTGGGGAACACATTCAGTGCACTATGTCTTGACATGGAGTCTGCGGGCCTGAGTAGAGGTTCAATGACGATCCGTGGTATTGACAACTATGCCGACTCGCATAAATGCGACCGCTGGCAGGGTTATGTTGCTATGGCGGCGGCTGTTTGTGCGGCGGAGTTTCTTAAGATGGTCCCTGTCAGCGATGGCCCCCAGGATCAATTTAGGATCATGGATGATGTCAGCAGGGTTATAACAGCTTCAATAAAGGAGATGAAGTCTGTCTTGGATGGTCTTCCCAGCCCGGAAAATTACGTGACAACTTTGATGGCTGTGGATAAGAGGCTAGCAGCCTTGGAGCAGCGTCTTGCTTTGCTAGACACTCAGAAACGATCGGCTAAGGCCCTCGAGACAAAACTAGACATGGTATTGGAGGGATTGAATAATCTGGAGAGATCTCAAGGCCAAATGCAGTCATCTTTCAGCCAAGCGAACGCAATCAACGGCGACGATGATAATGTTCTCTATGATCTCACCAGAGAAAGAAAGATACCGAGCTTCGAAATGGTGGATAACAATTCAGGCCAACCGTCCAAGCAATCACTAGGGGTTTCGGACACTTTCTTCAAAGCTGAACTAGCATCTTCGGACACGCACAGGATTCAGTTCGAGTGTTCCATCAGGTCTACAAAGCCGTTACCGCCACCAAAGCCGATCAAGTTTCGCTCACGTCCCATATGTGGTAGTCTTAGATAATAACGAGAATTTTCCCTACTGGATCTGGCGAGAGTATGGTAAGGATATACATACTGTGTCGCCGGCAATTGCGTGGTTTTTTGAATGAGAGCTGTTCTTCAACGCTCAACATGGTCCAATCCTGGCCTTGGGTCACATGGACAAGCTCACTGACGGTTTGAGGGATCTGGCTTCAATTTATAAAGTAGCAGTCCAATGTACAGTAATAACATATCCGCATCTATACTTTGCACTCAATAAGTACTCATCTTACCATCAACACTCAGCTTGTCGCAACTGATTTTAATCAACTCTCAACTTCTCCGCCCCAACCATCTCCGCCTCCCTATTCAACGCCTCAATCTCCGCCTCGGTAAACGGAATACCATCCTTCAATCTCGTCTCCCTCGTAATCTGCTCAATCTCCCCAGGATAATAAATCCTCTCCACCCCAGCCATCTTATCACTCTCCACAACCTTCTGATACAAGTAGTCCATCCTCTCCTTAAACTCCTCCAAATCCATAAACAAATCCGGCTTGATGGCCACCAAGAAATGACCCACATCCGCCGGCTTAGACGGATCATAAGGCCCCGTCACGCCCCCAGCGAACGCAGACCCGGACAACACTCCCGAAAACACATCCATCATAATCGCCAGTGCGGACCCCTTCGGCCCACCCATGGGAAGCATCACGCCCTGAAGCGCCTTGGCCGGATCATCCGTCATATTCCCCTCGCCATCAAGCGCCCAATCAGTCGGGATTTTCTCCCCGCGGCGAAGCGCCTTGTAGATCTTGCCTCTGGCGGCAATTGACGGCGCCATGTCCAGAATAAACGGCGGAGTAGATCCAGCCGGAGCGCCACACGCGATCGGAGACACGCCCATGAGCTTGGATCTACCGCCCCAGACGGGCAGGGCGGGCGAGGAATTCGTGAATACGAGGGACATCATCCCTGCGTCCAGGGCCTGCTGGACTATCCATGCGGACATGCCGAAGTGGTTCGAGTGCTTGATGGAGACGAGACCGATGCCGTATACTTTGGCCATCTCGATGGCGCGTTGCATGCCCATGTGCGCGGAGACGAACCCGAAGGCGTTATGGCCGTCTACTTGTGCGACAACAGGGGTTTTCTCAGTGAGAGTGGGGGTGGCGCTGGGCGAGAGGACATTTTGGCGGATCCGTTGCATGTATGAGGGGATGCGGTTGGAACCGTGCGTGTCTACGCCGCGGAGATCGGCTTGCACGAGGCATGATGATATGATCTTGGCGTGGTCAGTGGAGACGCCGTTTTTGGTCAGGATGGACTGGATGAATGTTTCCAGGTGGGTGGGGTTGATGTGTCGGATTTGGTGTTTGGGGTCGGACATTTTGGTAATGGGAATTGTTATTGAATTATGAATGATTAGAGAGGTTTTGTTGTTGTTATTGGATTCGAGGTTGATGTCGAGGATGAGGATGCGATGCTTTTATGAGGGGAGCTTGTTTCGGAGATTATCGGGGTTGGCCGTCGCCCCACACGGGGCACTTCCGAAAAGTAACGGATGGTCCCCGATTGGACGTATGACTCAATTAAGGGTCCGAGAATGCACCTCATATTGATGGGTCTGTTTTCCCTGACTTTTAGGTCACTGGTAATATTCTCCGGGATGTTTTCGTTGGGATGGTGTAAGCCTCTGATGGTTAGGCTTGTTACCGCATCCCTGAATATGCTTCTTCGTCTGTTTCGATTGACATCTCTTGCTTTCTTCACTGTGGGGAGCTGTTGAAGACCTCCCACATCAGCCCATCGATGTCAGGCATTCCACTCCAGCCTTGAAAGTCGCCTTGCAGGAGATCATCAAACAGATTGAAGTGGTAGGAAGTATCTTCCGGTCGGTATTCTTGAGGAAGAGCTAATGCTCCGGGGATTTGATCAGAGTTGCCGTACCCCTCGGGAATGCCATTATATTCCGCTAATTGATGGTTTTGCGCAGATAACGAGCTCTGCATACCTCCAGCTCGCGACTGCGTTCTGTCGGCTTCAGTGTGCAATTCGACAGTCGATTGGGTTCTCAGAAGCCGTTCTATTGTCACACGGGATAGCTCGTCGATGCAATCCCGCGCCCGAGTAGCCTCGCTCCAGTGCTCCCCGATGCTACTAAGTATGTTCTGTGCCATGGTGAGACTCGACATGAGTTCATCGACGCGCACCTTCGCTGTAGTTCTCGGTAGTTTCCAGATACAGTAGAGTAATACAAGCGCCCCAAGGAATACCGAGTGAACAAGGAGTCGGCTGTAAAGCAGGCTTCCTGTTCTGTAAATGTCGCCAAATGTTTGCAGGAGATCTACTGCCTGATGAAAACACAGATCGAGCATCTCTTCCGATGGCTTTGGGATTGCAGGGCTAGGTCGCAGTAGCAATACCATTGTTTCGTGATATCTGGTCTTACAGAGCTTGGCCATCACGTTTCCTCCACTAGTTGATTCTTGCGGGATTGTCGATTTCCAGTCTTTGAGCGTTTTAATCATATCACGCTGCCACGTGAAGATATCCCGCACCGGGGGATAGGCATAGCTCGGTACGTCACGTTGAATGCTGTGCATAACATATTTTATCTCTGAGTTCATCTTGGCTAATTTGAAGAGATGGATCGAGTGCGACATGTGTGACGGTGACTCTTGTGATTCATTGCGGTTGGGGTCAGGATTGACAAGGCCCGTGTCTGGTATGTCCAGCGGAAACTGTGACCTGATTAGTATCTCTTTCCGCGCTGTAGAAAATTGATCTTACCCTCATCTCACAAGCCTCATCTCTGATACCTATTGGACGCCCCATCATGGTACAAATGGCTCTATCGAGCGTATATACCACCCAAAAGATACGGGTCCGTATCTCCTGATCAAGCAAAGATATTCCAAGAGAAGGAGATGCACGGACGTCGCGTTGTAACCCTAAATCTATCACACTAGCAAGACACTGGTAGTTCAGGTTCCATATATTGACATTAGTGGAGGGGTTGTGCAAGGCATAAACCATAAGAAGTAACATGCATTGCAGAGCAGTAATTGAGCCATATGAACAGACCTGCTCGACATACTTCATGGCTGACGCATAGTATCCCTCCACGGGAAGATGCACCTTACATTCACGAGATAAATACAGGGCTGAGATTGATAGCACCATGTAAACTTGGAACAAGTCCAGGGGGTTCTCGTTGTGGGATGCATATACCCGCTCAATCACAGACATGTGGGTCGGCTCAAGCAGGAACGGGTAGATAAGATGTACCGTTCGGAAGTATTTCCTTGATAGTTCCATGGCGCTTTCTTTTCGAGTAGGCAGCAGGGTAAGGTTACTTAGTAGTTCAGTTGAAAGGCTAGTTGACTCTGCTGTGGCCCTTCTCACGCCTCTGGCTTTAGAACGCCGCCCAGCGCTGGAGAATATACGGTTCGCAAAGAAGTACCCGCTGGATGGCCCAATGTATCGAGGACCCTCACCAGAGGACAACGACACCAGTCCGATCTCATGCGCCGGTTGATGTCCAGAATTGTTTCCCTGCACATGATGTTGCAGATGCTGTTCCGACAGTGGATTGAAGGTATTCTCTTCATTGCATGAAACGGCTGGAGCCTCTCTTCTAAACTCCCGAGAGGATTGGTGCAAACTAGTGGTCGGATCGTCTTCATGCTGTATTTCGACGGAGAGTATGGTGCTATCATGATCTACTGCGTTCTCCGCGGCGTTATTGCGAGGTTCAAGTCCTAGATCCACGTTCGCGCAGTTTTCCTTGACAATCGACTCGAGCCATCGGATCCGATTTTCCATGTTTGAAATATATCTCCGCGTGACCTCCTGTTTTCCATCATTCACACATGATACCTTTGCCTTCAGGCAGGAGCTACATGATGGCTCATTCCCATCACACTGCAAAGCGGGACACCGTGAGCGCGAATCAACCAGCGGATGGTCTGGCTACTTACGCGAATCTTCCTTCGTTGGCAACGCCTACACGCCGCTCTATTCCGATTTCGACGCGGTGAGTCCATGTTGGAATATGGACACCGAGTGGGGACAAAAGGACTGATCTGGGATAACAGATGCTCTATCACTGGATGACTGGACTGGACTGGGGTGTTGTTGCCGCGTCTTTCTCGCTTTGCCACGTGATCTTCCTTCTTGGCGGTCTGTAAATCCGGGGTACAGCTAGTTCAACAGGTAATTTGTAATTGCTAGATTGTGATTGATCTGATTGGCGAAGCGATGCAAGCTGATGGCTGAAGAAATTGCTCCATCTCCTGCTTTCTCAACGCTACCGGGAAACGGCAATGTGGGTGGCGCGGGGAGTGCCCGACGGCCAAGCGGAGTGCCTCCGTCACTCATGTCATGTGACTAACCTTAATGCCTCATATATCAGGCGGAAAATATGTGTCTCGCTGATAAATCAGTAGACTTGGCTCCTGAAAATGAGTATATAGTACTCCGTAAAGTAAGCTTTTTTTAGGAAGCATTATTGCGAGCATTATAGCAGAGACGTCTTCTTCTGTAGGCGTTCACGACTAATGGCTCTAGTATTATCATGGTGAAGTTGTGTCTATAACATAAAACCGTGCTCTGTCAAGATATATAACTACTAAACTCTTCAAATTTGTTTTGCGAAAACATTCATCTCTAACCCAACACAGGAAAACCACACATATACTCATCCTCCTCATCAACCTCAAAGTCAAATCTCATCAGGTCCTCCTTGTACGGAAACATATATGTCGATGTCACACTGCCATAATCAAGATCAGCCCCAGCAATCTCGACCAGCGGACTTAGTATCCATTCACTTACTCATGATGCTCCTTACTAGCCTGGTACTCTGCTAGTGCAGCCAGGTCCTCATGATAGCTTACTAGAGCGATCTGGAATCCCTTGCTGCGGTCTATGGGGTCGGTCACACTGGGACCGCCCACGAGGAGGCGTCCGGATTTCACACAGGGTAGGTTCTTGAGCTTTTTGAGCTCTGTCACGAAGCGTTGTTTGTGCTCCTCGGTCACCCCGGGATGGAACTTAAAGAGGACTGGTTGGTAGTAGGTTAGTTGGAGATCATAGACTTTGTAATAGTTGTGTGGACATACCGATGTGGACTAGAGTCATTGTGGAAAGAGTCTATGGTAGAGACTGAATTTGAAAGTAATACAAACAGAGATATGCTCTTACAGAAATATTTGAAGTTAAAAGAGAACAATCAAGGTATTTAGCTCTGGATCCTCCTGCTCGTGTATTCTGGATTGGATGAAGCTGACCCGCGGCTATTCAACGATCAGCGGATGTCTTCCGTAGCTTGCGGGGACATGCCGCTCAGGATACAATTTCACGACAGCGTACAACAGACTGGAGGTTTTATGGGGGAAATATAATGTATATAGCACCAATCTTTTGTTGAGTCAACTGAAGTATGCGCAAATATCGATGTAATTATCGAAATCACATAACATAGCCCGTACAGAATACAACGTGCAGCTTGGGCCGTACTAGCCTGCTACATCAAACACATAGACGAGAACTTGTAGTATGATATATCATTTACACTCTCCCTGTAGAAGAAGTAATACCACCATCCACCACCAGCTCCTGCCCAGTGATATACCGTGCCTCATCCGATGCCAGAAAAACTGTAGCATTAGCCACATCCCAAGCATCCCCCATGCGCCCCATTGGCACCTGCTCATCGCGCGTCTTCATATATGCCGCCTCATCACCCCCAGGCGCATACCGCTTCGCAAGCTCCCGAGTATACGGCGTATAAATCAGCCCCGGAACAACTGTATTCAACCTCACTCCCTTCCCTGCATATATCACCGCAGTGGCCTTTGTAAACTGCATAATGGCTGCTTTCGTAGCCGAATATGCAACCTGCGGCTTCCCGATATACCGCAATCCTGCAATACTCGACACGTTGATTACCGTGCCGCCCGTCTCCTGCTTCTCCATAATAGGAAGCACGTAATGACTCGTCAGATAAACGCTTTTCAGATTCAGGTCGACTTGTTGATCCCATGTTTCTTCGCTCATTTCGGCGGGACCACCTGGTTCGGATTTCCCCACGTTGTTGATTAGAATGTCGATGCGCCCGTGGCGTTGCATGCAGCTATCCACGAGGGCCTTGACGGAGGTGGAATCAGTAACGTTTGTTTCTTGGACTTCGCATTTTCCGCCCTCTTTCTCAATTCGAGCCTTGGTTCTTTCGGCACTGGCTAATGACCGGTTGCCGCCGAAAATGATCGCGCCTTGTTGGGAGAGCTTCATGGCGATGGCGGCGCCGATGCCCCAGCCCTCGTCGGTGGTCTGGCCGAGGCCGGTGATAAGCGCGACTTTGCCGTCTAGTCGAAGCATTTTGGAAAAACAATTGAAGAAGTGGATAAACATGAACAGTAAATGATAAGAGAGACTGAGTTATAGCTTTTCTTATCGCAATTTGGATGGAGATATCAGCGGGAGTCTGCTAGTCTTAGACTAGCTGTCAGTCTTACCCCTCATTATGGGGAGCGGACCATCTCCGAGGCTCTATCGGCCCCGCGCGGCGCCCTACCGTCGAGCCTCTTGCTGGTAAGGCTATCAATTGCAGAGATGGTGGCTATTTTTGAATTACCACTTCAGCGAGCAGGAAATGCCAGCTGGTCTAGGGCAATATGTCGGAGCTTAGTAATGTTAGCGGTGTAAGTACCTACTTTACTTCTAGGCAGCCATCTATGCTGGGTAATGCACTTTGACTGGTGAGCGTCAATACTAAGCGGGATAGAATTTTAATGGCTGTGTTTGTATCCTCCTACCGTAAGATGAGAATGCCATGTGCCAGGTTACTATAGTCTGTGGACACATCCTTTTTGATCCGAGTACTTTGAGTGCTATGCCAACTAATATGCAAGATGCATGAATCAAGACTGAACTGTAATGTGTCCATGCTGTGCCAAGAAACAAGGAGATGCTGAAGAATTGTGCTCATGCCCCCACATTCCGCGAATTGGCCTCCTACATGCCTTTAGCCTTACCCATTATGTCTATTAGAGGAACCGATCGACCATATTTACGGATGGCTGACGTGAGAAAGGTGGTACCAATTTCGAGATCCGTGATGCAAACCGGGTGAAGAAGAGTTACATTGGTGTATGGATATCCAATGGGTTTCTGCAATACACGCAAAGATGTACGGAGTAGTGATTGTCATCTCAAATTTAATTCGAGAAATTCCAGATCCTTCCATACATGGAAAACACGCCTCGTATTCTACTGTCGATCATCAAGTCTTGGAGGGTCGGCTAACGGCATATGGTCCCGGAAACGCTACCACAGGATTGGTGCAATGGGGTTTATTACCTGACTTCCAAGGAAAATGGAGCAACTTGTACTAGATTCAAGCTATTGCAAAAAGGGCGTTTTTACGAGGCCCGCAAGTCCATTCCCCAAAGCAGAAGCGTGGTCAAGGGTGTCGATTTGTGCCACAATTATGATAATACTATAATAGCAGTACGTTGCGCGATACATTTGCAGAAGACAAATCATATAGGTAAATAAACCATAGTTCACCCTGGATTCATATGAAACGGCCTCTTTAATTGCATCATCCTCAAAGTCAAACAGACATACTCTAAAGCTTAGATTGAAACTCCTGAGCACCTGGGAAACTCATCTCTCCATTTCCTGTAAACTCCGGGACCGCCTTGATGATTCCCATCCATCGTTCAGCGGACAGCATTGGAGCCGTGATGTAGGGCTCAATCTGCAAGTTATTCGGATGCTCGTCCAGACGGCGATAAACCGCATCCACTGCGTCACACTCCTTCTGGAACTGGGCATCCCTACTCATCCTGAGATGCTCTGAGAACCAGGCAGGATCTGATTTCATAGCTCCCGCCTCGTATAGAGCCAGCAAATCAGGGTCAACAGATGCGTCAACTGCAGCCTCATACGCCATGCGTTGTCCGATCGCTATGACCATAGGCCGAAGATGGGGAAGTACTTGCTTGCTGTATTCGTCACCGCGATGGTTGCCGATCTTCTTCAGCTTTTTCTTCAGGTCGGAAACAATGCCCTTCTCATGCTGTGCAAGTATAGAGTTCGGCTTTTTGGGGCCGGGGATGGCATATCGACCAAGTAGAAGCTCGGTGGCGAGGCCTATCAGATGTCATGGAGATGTTTCAATTGCTGCGAATTAAGAATTAGAAATACGCACGGATTGAGAGAACCAAAACCTCTCCTTCTGCGATACCGGTAGCCCGGGTCAAAACCTACATCGTGAGTAATCATTCAACTCACCTCAAACGTGGCCATCTGGTTATGCGGGTACACTCCTTGTGCACCACTTCTCTCAATAAGGTTTGCTAGACTCCATTGCCCATTCTGTAAGAATACCGCCTTGATGATGACCCCAAGACCATGTTTTGCTCCAGGGTGAAGTGAGTTGTCTGTGCTGTAGAGGTGTGTAAGCCAGTCGCTAAACGGTTACATGACAGCGATCTGTGCAAGGGAGTGCAAGATTGGGAGCTGCTGTGTTCTGAACGAAATAATAGGGACGCGTTCCCCGTGCACACCTGCTTGGACAGTCCGGCGTTGGCTGTATTTGCCGACGCAATATGCGGCACATTTCAGAAAGGGAATGATCCACAAGCTTAGAGCAAGGGCCCCAGTGCCCAGACGGTGTATGGCTGATAGATACTGGGCGCGCATATCGGCAGGCATCGCGAGCTCACCCAACATTGCATTTGTTGGAAGATGGACATTGTCGAAAGAGGTCAAGCTACGGTCGAGCACCCTTCCTCCATTGATTGATGGGAGAAGCCTGGATCGGGTTCTATAAGTCATAGTGTGTTACATGAGATAACACCGAAACTTACCATGAATGAACACCCTTGTTCATCTCCGTTCCATTGTTTATCGGGACGACAAAGGTCCGAATACCACGGTCCTCTTCATCCACTATCAACCGTGCACACACAATGGCTACTCGCCGAATGCCCTTTATTGGCATTGATGGTGGCATAAACCTGTATATTATTAGCATTTTGTAAGGTTGGGAATGGATTTTGTGTCACTAGTACTTTACTGCCTCAGGTGTAGGCGTATTGAGGATGAAGCTGCCATCACGCTGCAGTGTTGCCGTGGTCTCCAGATTCCGGGAATCGCAGCCATGGCCAACTTCATCAGGATGAATGGTGCACTATTCAGTGTCAACGATTGTGCAAAATTTCTCATGAGAGAGTACTTACGAGATTTCAAAGTTCAATATCTCTTTCATCAGCGGATGGAGATCGGGTCTCTTGAGGGCAAAAGGTGCCACTGTACCGGCCACCAGATTAAGTTGAATCGTTACCAATATGTGGGAAACAGCATCTCGAACAATAATTCCATCTTTGTGGACGGCCCAGAACTTGGGGGTCATATGAAGGCAAGCCTCGAGGGTCACGCCTGGTGTTGTTAGATCTACTGTTATGGCCATGCAATATACTGACCATGCAGTTGACCGATTGCTCTGGCTCGGTGATATGATCGTTCTAGCTCTTCGATACGAGGACCATCCTCATAATGATGCTCGAAGAGTTTTGAGGAGAGGAGGCTAAGCGTGGACGAGTTGAATGAATGGTGGGACTGCATTGTGCTAATTGAGATTTTGCAAAACGACCGCTACGGGATGATCCTTGTGCTACGTGGTACCAGGCAAGGACATTAATAGAAGGTCTTTATATACCTTCTACACCTACCGCCTGCCTAAATACTAACTCACGTATAGCACCTAATGATGTAACAAGTAAACAGGATTGTTTGTGAGTCTCGTCTCGTCCGTTTCTGCATACCTCATGAAAAGCCAAATTAGCGGGTTGACTTCGTAAGGACGAGTTCTAGACGATAGTCATCCATTTATGCGAAGGCTCATATGCAGATGGTGGTGTTCCAAGTGGGAAAAGATCCATAGCTTTACCAGTGGAGCCCTGAATGCCGAGCCTATTGACCTTGCAGATTGTTCCTATTTGTCAACTGTTGCTGGAGAACCTCACATCATTACCCTAAAAAGAAGTAGTGGTGCCCGTTATGAGGTAACAATCAGTGAACAAACCGATTCTCAGCCGTGAGCGGCCAAAATTGTGATCTGCGGCTTTTATCAGTGAGTGAAGCAGCCTGTCTCGTTTGAGGTGACTCATTGTGCGCATGACCGTCAGGTCTCCACATCAAATATGTGCGCTCAGGTAGGTTATCAGATCGCCTCTCCCATTAGGCAATATATTATGTTGGCCTTCGTGACATGCAGCTCAATCAGTAATTTTTCCCTGACCCAAAGCGAGAGCTGCCGCGGACTGCACTTCTCGATGGAACAGTATGCATCTACTTCTCGATTGCGAGGGATATGCTGTGCACCATTTATCTTGAAACACAAAGTCGGCGTGAGGTTTTACAGGTACTTCTTCAAGTAGTATATAGAAAGCCTCACACGCTCTCTGCGCTGATCATCTTATTGAAGGTTTCTTAGCTTCATTGACACTTGCCCTGCAAGCAGTTCGTATACATCAGGAAAATATACATTTTACCATTCCCTCTCTAGCCACGTAGAATTCTACTATGACACAAACGTAAGTTCTCGTTTTATTGTCTTGCTTCATAAAATATGTCAAATGACGGTCTAATGAGCGAGATAAACAGGCCCGCAGGTGGAACCTTTCTTTCCATGACCAAGCGCAAAGCCCGCGTGGATCCATAAGAAGTGCAGAATGTCTTCGACCATCTTCCAGCCGTAAGCTCCAAGTTTATCTTTGGCGAATGGGAGGCCCATTTGTTGGCAACTGGCCATCCTTCGGATCCAAAGGCAGCAGCAGCATTGCTACCCATCTTCAAAGTTTTCCGCTCCCGTACGTCTGTGGATAAATACTCGTTAGTGGGTGGGGAAAAGAAGCATCTCCCTGGATGGGGAAATTTGTTTGTAGGTCTTTCGTATAAAAATCATGTTCGCTTCTCGGCATCATAATATTGGAGCTACTAATGTATGACTGGAGTTGGCCGAAATGACCTACCGAGGTCTTAGCTCTGCTGCCATGATCTATGGCGACTGCCCCGTGGTCGATTATCTTCGGTATGTCGATGACAACACTATTGCTGGTGCTCAGTGGTCCTTGAACCAAGACGATTCCGGGGTGTTGTATTTCTATCTTACTAGGAAATGAAGAGTGAGAGCCTGGAGGATAGATGGCTTCTCTTCCGACCAGGAGGGCTGGAATCCCGCATCGCACTAGTTCATCTGTCGCTTTACAACCAGAATGATCTAACCCTGTTTTTTCTCTTACCTTTGCCTTCCAAGAGATATTTTCTTGACTAGGCCAAGGTCTCTGTTTTCTGGGATCATTTAGCCCGCCTGGTAAAATAAGGGGCCAGCGGCAGTTTCCCCCTAAGACATGCCTGCCCTCGTCATAGATTTACTGTATTAGGGCGGACACTTTGGATCTGCACATATTGGTCCACCTGAAAAGTGGCACTTCCCGAATAAATCAAGTGCAGGCTTTGATCGATGCAAGGCTTGGCGCTCCTAGCGTCTAGTACCATGCTGGCTCGATGCATGAGGCCTAATTGGTAAGCATCCGTATTGCATCATTTAGGCCGCCCTTTGAGAATGACAGTAGAGGAGAACAGAACAATATGTGCTGAAGTTAATCGCGTCAACGGTCAGATTGGCCAAGTGATGTATATATTAACTAAACCAACTGAGTCTTCGCTAGATGATTTCCGGTTTCGTATTATTGGGGTTGGGATTTGCTAGCTTCCCGCAAATGCCACCAATTTGGACGTACGTCCTCTGATTCCACATCCGAATGGACAATACTTTATGCCTTGCAAGTCCCACAGATATAGGTTCTTGAAAAGCATTAGTGCTCTAGCCTTTCAGAAGGACGGAGGTCAGCTAGCTACCCTTGGTCTTCCTAACTACACTGCTTTGAAGACTCGAGTGCATCCTTCGATTTTCCATTCGGCATGAAGAGGCATATACCGATTCACATTAGCTGACTTGTACTAGTTTGGTCGCAATCAGATCAACACTACACTAGATAGTGCAGCGTCATATCCATTGAATACACGGGAGTAACCGGAGAATTGGCTTTGTCAGGAATCTACCGAAACAGCAGAGCACGTATGAGGGTTTGTCACAATTCACACCACCCCAGCTTTTCAACATGTCACTGTTTCATCGACACGTGACCGATCGACGAATTTGTATTTGGGAACCCCTTGCTCCAACATTTCAAAATTCCCTCATTCCCTAATCCCTGATTTAAGTTTTCTGTTGCTCATTGTCTTTTTTGCCTACAGTTTCTGTTACTAACGATACAGTATTTGGTATCTGTCGATGATCATGGATGATATGGGTGACAATGCCGCGTTCACCAGAACATTGCATCAGGACTTGGCTCGGAAATACCGGCTGCACGGATCGCGAATCGAGCAGTTCTGGCGTCAATTCGGTAAGCCAAAGCGAGAGGCGGCCTTCAGAGCAGGAGCGGCAAGCGGGCAAGTCCTTCGTTCGCCCAATGACCAGTCCATGGGCGATGTGTACAAATTTATTCCCGAGTTGAATCTTCGAGATATCGCACGTCCTGACTCGGACTATCTACTGGACCATCTAAAATACCGCGCAACCACTTCTCTTCCTCAGCAGTACCAGCAGGGACTGAATGGGGGACCAGGGGATGCAGCCGTTATTCTCGAGAGCATGCGCACGAAAGGCCTTGGTCATGCCCAACCTTTCCGCTATAGCTTCACCATGTTCTTAGATGGGTCAGACTATGGCAGGTCTTACGATGTAACCGACCCTGACAAGTACCGAGAAGTGATGGCTGGTCTGTCCACAGCCGTTCAAGCAGGCATCTGTGTTCCACGAGCCACCGGTGAGCTTATCTTAATGAGGCAAACTTATTTCCTGCAATCTCTCAATATCCTCGTGGAAGATATTCTTGACCAAGGATCCTACCTGCCGCAAAATCCACGGCCCAAGAAGACGGAAAAGGCGGCCCGCGAGGCATTGTCTTCACTGTCGCTGGACTCAAAACCCGAGAAGCTCTCATTGGAAGATTTGGCCGCTCGCGCTTGGGATCAAAAGACTGCACTTGAAGATTCTCTTTACCTTTGCCGAACTGAGCCAGAATTTCTAGTCCATGTGGTAAACATCTGGTTTTTCAGTCGTCCCGAGCTTGTACCCGACGATCGTGGACGGATGCTGCCTCTGACCACTGATAAGTACATCTCCATCTGCTTTGTTGAAGCAATCTATAATGCAGTAGCTGGGGTTGCTATATGGGGATTCATATATCATCTTCTACAGAACCTCATTGAACGGCCAACCGATCGGGCGTACAAAATCCTCCTACTGCAGGAACTAGCCAACGTGATATCCTTCGAATACAAGCGGGTTCAATCGCGGTTCAAGCGTTACGTCCAGGTGGGATCAGGATCAGGACACTTTAAACGAGTCCCTGGTGTTTATGACAACGGCGTAGCACGGGTGACGATGAAGACCAAACCAGACACCTTGACTCGCTCGGATCCGCGACTCTATTATATGCTTCGCCTTTGCCAGACTGAGACGACCCCACCAAAGGCAGTGGACTGGGTCAAGAAGCTTCATGGCCTTCAAAGGACCGACCCGATCGAAATGGAAAAGACAACCGAACTTGAGTATGATGCTTTCAGCGATCTGGCAGTCACTGCTGCTTTTGCTCAGTCGGTTTCTGCTTCTTTGGCACTGCCGCCCGCGACAACCAAAAAGGGGCAAATGTACCTGTCAAAATTCAGGAATCTGGACGCTGAGCTCGAACCTTTGAGAAATGAGATTGACCTGTCCGGCTATGCAATCCCAATTGACAACCTACGCCAACCAGGAATGGCCCAAGACGCTCTCGGTGCTTTAGGTCGATTCATCATTGACAAGACCGGGGCGGACATAGGCTTCCTGTATCAAGATCTCAACGAAAGCTGTCTGTTTGAAATCCAGAACCAATATGAACAACAAAGAGATAAAGTAAAATCCGCTGCTGCTGCTGCGCCTGGCCTGTCAATTCCTGAGTCTTCAAATTCAGAGCTACAGGTTACAGAGCGGCGTCAAAAAGTGAAATCTCGGCCGGCACATTCCTCTATTTATAACATTACCCCGAATACTGAGGCTCCGGAGAAGGACGATGCCCCTGAAGCTCCGACCTTGAAGGTGGGACCTAGCACGTTTGCAGTTTTCTCAACCATTTTCTCCAGATCCGATTCCAGAGGGTCGATTCCCTGGTTAGATTTCAAAGCTGCCATGGTTGACCTCGGATTCTCCGTGATCCCAAGATTCGGTTCCGTCTACACTTTCGCCCCGCCACAGGAATATGCTGCCCAGAAAGCTATCACTTTGCACCGGCCCCATAAGACTTGTATTGAGGGATATCGTCTTCTCATCCTCGGGAGACGCTTGGGGAGGCGGTATGGCTGGAACCAAAAGACTTTGGAGGTAGCGTAAAGTGCATAGGCTATCTAATTATTTTGGTTTTCTTCGTTCTGATGTAAGCGATTTTGAAACAGATGGTGTTCATTCATTTCGTATTAATGCGAACAAGAATATGTTCTGACAACTGACTGTCCAAGTGTGCACAGCGCTCCACACATGTTCTCCAGGATGATCTTCGAGGAAAGTAAATTGAACAAAATGCGAACTCTGCCGCTAGATTATATTTGATGCCCGCTTAATACTTTGATGTGTCTCTTTGTATTTTTCCAGGGACCATTGTATTATACTCTTTAGTAAACAATTTTGCGCCACCTCTATGTAAATCTTAGACATCTATAAATCCCCACATCTCTTCACCTCCGTCACCGGCCCATCATATTGATGTCTTCCCTGAACCACATACATAACAAGACTCACCAAAAACACCGCCACGAAGATCACCACACTCCAATTAAACGTCTCGGTCGTGACAGGTGTCGACTCAGGCCAAAACGACCAGAATAGCGCAAACAGTACATATAACCAGCCGATAATGTTAACCGTCAGTCCATATCGTCCCAGCCCCCAGCGCGCAGGGGGCAGCGTATGCGGGTGGAAAAGCTTTCTCCATATCAGACAACTCATTGAGATAGAGTAGGAGAACATGAGAGCCGCTACGTTGAGGGAGACGATGGCGTTGAAGGCAGTCTCGGAGCCGATATTAATCAGGGCCAGTAGGGCGCTGATGATGCAGCTCAGGATGATGGAGTTGACTGGTAGCTTTCGTTTTTCATCGACTTTGGCGATCCAGTTGGAGAATGGGAGCCCGCGGTCGCGAGCGAAGGAGAAGGTCTGTCGTGCCGTCGAGGCGTTGAAGAGGATGTTGCTTATGATCACAGGGATGAGAATGATCGCTGTTAGGCCGTTGACGCCTGCTGTGTTGGTGGCCTGTTTGAAGACGTAAATGAAGGGGAAGCCGGTGTCGTCATTGAGTGAGTCTTCGACGGACGGAGTTACGAAGAGCATCGTGATAAGTACGACTAGTGCTAGGATTGCGTTGGCAAAATAAGACCATATGATGGCGATGGGCACGTATCGCCCTGCATCTTTGATTTCCTCCGACATGTGGGCCGTTGCATCACAGCCTGTACTTGTCAGTGCTGATCTTTGAACATGTTGCTGGTATACATACTGAGACAGCCGTAAATGGCGGCAAGCTGGCCAACCATCACAGTAAGATCCATAGATGACCATCCACCGAAGTTCTCGAACTTTGTGAACACTGCTTCGGCGGGCTGTAGCGGAGCCAGAACCCAAAGTGTCACCACCACGACCAACCAGCATAAAACATGAGTTGCCAAAAGCACATTTTGCATCCGGGCCATGAATGCCGCGCCGTATATGTTGAAGAAGAACGCAATGAGGATCATGGCGAATACAAACATTGTGCCTTGCCATCCAGTGGGGTCGTAGTCGGGATCACGGACGCTAATCAGGCCCTGGATGATGGTTCCAGTCAGGAATGAGCCCGATGCGGTTCCTGCCTGCCATGCCAGGACAGACATCCAGCCGGTTAAGTAGCTGAGGAATTTCTGGTAGCGTGGGGATGCAAACTCGGAGACCCAGTGGTACTGGCCTCCAGACGTAGGCGCCCTAGACGGTTAGCGACCGTGATGGTATGTATAGATGGGGCAACTTACATCGAGGCCATTTCAGATATAGAGACAATGACGAACCCAAATCCAATGGCACTCCAGACGTAGGTCCACAGCATGCCTGCCAACCCACCATCTTGTAATCCTTCATAATCCGACCTACTGATATTTAGACCCTGAGCGGAGTAGTGGAATTTAATGATCGCGTTACAGCATGATGTACTCCCATGTAGACTGCAATACGGCCGAAAAACTGAGGGCTGCAAAAGACTGGATGTTGCGCTGCGATCCCATACATTAGTCGGATGCGATTATCTGGGCGCCGAATATTTACCTTGAATTGCTGGGTCTTACCCATGCGATCCATTTCTATCACGTCGTGGCGTGTGCCTTTGATGTCATCCTCCTGACTAGATGCATCGGCTTCTAGGGTGTGCGCGCCAGCAACGACGGGATCTTTGGCAGCATCCTGCTGCGTGTTGTGTGCGAAGACCATCCTGCACCCTTAGGGGAGCCTGAAGCCAGGAAAAGTACAGGTGGGAGCACTTAGGAAGAAAAACAACAGCGAGATCGGAAGAGAAACTGCTCAAAAGATACGGCGCAGGAAAATCAAGGTAGCCGAGTTCCCCTCACCTTATCAACATCCTGGGAGTCAACTTAGCTTCACATTAGTGGGTGCCCTAGCAAGAAACGGCCCGCCACCCGGCCGTGCACCAAGCATATTGGCTGCAGGGTGTACGCGGCACACAAAAGCAAAGCGCAAAATCTGATCCTTGCCGGTGCATTAGTCTATGGTCGCTCCGACGGCTGAACCGAGGTGTTGTCTCGCAGCTGAAAGGCATCTTACCAGCCCATGTCCGACTAGAACTGCCCTTAAGCACTTCCGTTGGTCTGTGCCCTTGTTCCGCAATTCTCCACCTTCATTGAACTGATCAAGTGTCCGAGCGCATTCTACCCTGCCTCTAGCGGAATGTTTATCCGCTATGCAGATTGTAGAGAGCCAGGGGTCGGTGGGAGCTGAATATCAGTGTGCACGGCGCAATTAAAAATCAGAAGACCAACGGTCTAGTCTAGACAGTCAGTCTCAGCACCAGCAGTTAAGCTAAGGAGGCGCTTGCGCAATGAGCTGCCCTTAGCTTTCTTGGCGGGCCATTTCAATTTAATGCTTATTTTCCATCTTGATGCTTGGCCGAGCATCACTTAAAATTTGATAATACTCACCAATAAAAGCAGATGAGTATATGATCACTAATCAGTCTTGAATTTCACCCTCTGTAAATCAGAATGACAACGTACATATTAGACGTGATATACCCCAATGCTGATTCCCGTAGACTCCATGCTCCATTTCCTCCATGCGAGAGTCATATGCACAATTATATGTTGATCTGGGACTTCAGAGCACAATCTTCTTCTTGAAACTGGGGCTAATGGCTAAGCTAGGATTGGTCCCGAGATATTGGCATCGTCCTGCCCTTTTACAACGGCCCGAGGATGGTGTTTTTACCCAAAAGTTTGAATGTAATAGTATATTCTACAGCTTTGCAAGTCTACCTATCTTCAAAACAGATTCCGTCTCCTTCCTTGTCCTCCGAACTATCTCCCCTGCTGGTAAAATTTCTTTCACCAAGCCAACCGCAGTGCCTGCAAACGTAGCTAGTCGCCCATTAGGTCCATAACCTGGGTTTCCCTTCTTCAAAGCCTTTTGGTAAAGGTCGTAATTTTGCTGCTCAGTCACCTTACCGGCCACAAAGTCTGTGTGCGTTTGGTTCACAATTCCTCGGGGAGAATACTTCGGTGGCCAGGACAGGAACCCACGTACCCGGTCATAGACAGCGGAGCGAATAGTATGGATCCCTCCATCACTAGCTTCGATGATGGCTTGCTGGTATCCTTTCGGTATAGGAACTTCAAGAGAAGCCAGGAACCGAGTCCCCATCACTACCGCCTCAGCACCTAAGGTGAGAGCGGCGGCCACTCCTCGACCATCTACCAGACCACCTGCTGCAACAATTTTGGGCTTCAATAAATTGTTCGCATTGACTGGAGGCTTGGCATCCAGATGATCAATGATTTCTGGAACCAAAGACACGATACTAGCAGAGTGCTGCAATCCGTGACCCCCTCCATCACTACCCTGCACGACGAGCACGTCAGGCTGCAGCTTGACTGAAGCGTCAATTGCATCCTCCACGCTTCCCACCTGTACCCAGATAGTCACACTGCCGCCAGTTTGGGTCCGAATCCCCTCCACCCAAGGAACCTGATCTGCAGCACTGTTAGGTGGCGCGAACAGCCACACGGCACATGGACGATATTGGATGATAAGTGGTAATGCCATCTTGAGATCGGCTCCCCAGCTCAGGAACCCGACACCGACCGGTAAGTTCGGGCCGTCATATAGCTGGAGACGGTTCTGGTCGGGAGAGCTTTCCGCTGCCTGATACTCTTTCACGAGCTGTTTGGCTTTCTGCAACTTGCTTTCCAGGTTCGAGACATCATTTCCACCAGCAATGAATCCTATCCCACCAGCTGCGGATACGGCGGTGGCTAGCTCTGGGCCGGCGATGTTGAGCATAGGAGCTTGTGCTATCACTGGTGCTTTTGTCCATGGGTAGGTAGATTGCAATGGTGGCCTTCGGTCCATAATGACAGCAATGGGTGAACGGGCAATTGAAGACTTCAGGCGGGCTCCCAGGAGACCTAATCCAAGTTCGACGGTTATTGGTATTGCGAATTCCCTAATGAAGGTGGTATGTGGCTGCTTGTAAAGGAATGCTGCTCCACGGTCCAACGGATGATCGACGTCTTCCCCGCTTTCTTTCCTTTCCTCTCCACCAGCTAAAATGCGAGAGACACCTGATAAACAAGGCACCTGCTAATCGGGTCCCTCCCGCCATACCCGCAGTATCCGCTCTGCTGTGCCATTTTGACGTCATAACTCTTGACACAGAGAACGCATCGTTTGCTGGGTGAATAGATCTTGCTTGATTTCTTCGACGATTATCTGATCAAACGGAACATGAAGTCGAAGACTTGAGTATGCCGGCATCCATCACTGTAGACTCTGTTCACAGATAGGCGGCTATCTGGGAACTAAGCTACTACGAAGGCCTGTGTCGCATTGAATAGAGGGGTATTGTCAAGACAGACCTAGTTCCAACCCAAGCAACTGTGCTAGATATATGATGAGAAGATGCCTCACCTGGCACTGAGAATTCTTACAAGTTATCTTGGCATTTGCCATTCTGTGGATTTTCAGGCTGATGTTTTGTATTTATACCTTCGTCGTCAGCATTGTTGAGATGGCTTCCGTAGGGCTAGCCAGGTACATACTCACTGCGCCGGGGGGCAATCACCCAGTAGAGCTGGTTGGTTTCCCCATATGAGGCATTATTCTACGCTCCCCCATGTCGGTCTCTAGTCATCAAACTGGAATTTTGGTAAAACAGTAATCGAAAGATCTGTGCCTGATAGATAGAAACTACTCCCTCTTATATGATGAGTGAATGGTTATCCAGACCTCATAGACAGTTATGTCCTTATGTCTTGTCTGATAAATGAACCAACAATACCCGGCTGGTCATTGCAAAAGGCACCTTTGCTGAAGAAAGAACGTCCCTATGATTGCAACCTAGTTGCTTGATGTCCCGTCTAGCAATATCATGGGCCCTCTTCGACTACAGTAGAGCCAGATCGGAGCTCCCCGGGTAACCCTGGTAGATCGACCTAACAATCCACCGGAACATTCAGCTACTGCCTCGATTAGGACTGGATATTGGTTAAGTAACCACGGAGTTATCCCGACTTTCTTTCTTTCAAAGTCTATAAAGGACCCTAGATTCGCTGTTGTTCTCATCTTGGAATTGTGCATCTTCAACTGTATGATGGTCCACTTCTTCGAAAATATCAACAAGCGCACACACTGACAAGTCTCAACTTCCTCAGTGGGAGGTGGGCAACGAACCCTAGTTCTTTGCTGAAGTATCTAAGCTGCTCAAGGACAGTAGCGTACCTTGCATCTTAATCGGTCCGGTGTATCATCGAATTCTCGGGATCCGTGGTGGAATTGAAGTAAGTCATTCCGGATCCCTCGAATGGATAACCATACTATTTTGACGGTAAGACTGTCAGTTTTGCCATTGACGGCAATTACCTCAAAAAGGCGCGAGAGGTCCTAAAGACAGCAGGGCTGTCACGTCAATGTAAAGACGAAGGTACCCGCTGTTATTCGCCGCCCAGCTTCCGGTTCAGGGTTCCCAAAGCCCAATGACCTATTCCACATTGAGAGATTCCAGGATGGGGAAAAGCACCCTGAAATTGGGCATATCAGTCTCTACAATAGGGAAAAGTGGCTGCCTCGGCCTTTCTAGCATACCCGCTAGCCCGACTGAGTCCGATGATCTAGACTGTCTCTTGGCAAGTGATGAACGGCTTCCCTTCGCGTGCGAGGAGCATCGTCGGGCGTGTCGCGATAATGACAAAATCAATTCTACTGAGTGCGCCTGTGACAAGGAAGGTGAGAAATACACATGTGGAAGGTACCCTAAGTCACTTCCTGGGGTTATGATCCTCCGTCCTGCCCGTCTTGTCGAGACATGGGTGTCAGCTGAAGTCAACGAATGGCTTCTAGAGTACCACCGGGACATGGAACTCTGTGGAGACCAAGGGCGGTTCTGGGACGCCTTGTACTCTTCTCCAGAATATAGCCTTTGGAAGTTTGACAGATTCAAGACCGAATTTCAGCTTTGGTGGATGATGGTGCGTCTTACTGTTGGATACGTTCGGGATCTATCTGTGCCACAATTGGACCCGGAAGGTTGCCGCGACAGGGACATCCCAGGAGAGGCCCCTAGAGGATTGTTCCCGGAAGAGGACATGCGGAGAGTGTTTTTTTCCAGGAGAGGCCTTCCCCCAGGCTTCTTCCCAGAAAACATTCTTGAATTGGAAAACTTTGAGGATGAGGATTCCACGGAGGATGAGGATATGACCTCTTCTGATATGAAACCCCAGAAAACGGCTACTGTTGCAGACATATCGTTCAGAAGACGAAAGCAATTGCGCATCATTCGGCAGGATATGCTAATTGAGCTCGCTCAAGGACGTATGATGCATCCTATCAAGGGTGTCAGTCCTGTCTAGTATAACTAGGAACCTGGTCTCTTGATCCATCTGTTTTGTTTTCATTGTGCAGGTCGAGGCTGTGCCAAATTTGTTTGTTTCAGCTTCCATGATACTGAGATTCACCAGTCGGATGCTTGACAAAGCCTAAGATACAAATTAAATGAAACCTCCATTACTTTCTCGATATTCAAAATTTTGGACAGTAGAGACCAAGCACAGAAGCGTAGAAACTTACCATTGTAGGGGCTATTATGAATTCAACCAAGCCTGTCTTGTGTAGTGCTGACTCATCTATGTCAATGCACAACTTGCCCCGGATCCCCGTCTCAAATCAAATCTTCCTCTGCATCCTCCATTGTTTCTGTCTTCCCCGACGCTATTTCTCTTTTCCTATCTCGCATCCAACCCAACCTTTCATGCCGACCAGACGCATCTGGCATTGCGCTCAACGCGTACCTCCCGGTCTTGTCGGACCGCCATCTATCATCAGAAAAGCTAGGAACCCGCGACCCCCATCGGTGTGGTTCCAGAGTCACATCCCGTCCCAAAATGTCTACACTGTTGTTCGGGCAACACAAAGACGACCTACACCCTACCATCATATGTACCAACCCCTACACTCAAGTAGCTGTCCTCAATTACGTACCCTTTTTACCGAATCCATACCACCAATCTTGATTCCTCCCGTCATATTCACGGGACTGCTTTTTTCTCTATGGACTTGGAAATGCTTCTGGATTGTAGTGATGCAAGAGAAGCTTCTTTATCTCACCTGGCTACCACCATTTGCACGATCTGAAACGGTCTCCGACTACGAGGGACAATGTAAGCCAGTACGCTGGCAAACACACCAAATTCGGAGCCGTGATGGTACAAAACTAGCAATATGCGAAGGTCGCATTCCTGTCAAAGCCACCTCGCCTGGAAGCATTCAGGAGTCGAGAAATCACTGTAAGAAGAAATTAGTGGTGATTTGCTACTTCCAAGGCAACGGCGGCTCGACCCCCATGAGATTGCCCCTTCTATCGCAGTTCCTGCGCGCAATTCACGCCTCTCCAAAATCTTCTGCTTCAGCATCTGAGGAGAAAGAGTACGTGGTGGTTGCTCTCTCATATCGTGGTTTCTGGACATCATCTGGCCGTCCTACTCAGCAAGGTATTGAGCTCGACACTCAGGCCTTTCTTGATTGGGTTACGGAGACATATGCTGCCCCGGACACAGTTCTGCAGGTCATTCTGTGGGGCCATAGTTTGGGAACAGCGATCGCAACTACCGGTCTCGCTACGTATCTTCCTCGGTCGCACACTGCAGATTCGCAAGCGCCAGCTTCTATTGCTGGTGTTATCCTCGAGGCACCTTCATCCAGTGTCAAGGATATGTTGATCAGCCTCTATCCTCAGAAATGGTTGCCGTATCGATATTTGTGGCCTTTTTTACGGAGCCATTGGGATAGTATCCTGGCTATGAAGCGGATGGCACGGTGGAGAGACGATCTCAAGAATATAGATGATCAAAGTCCGGATAGCGATGGTGACAATGCTGTATTGCCACCAGTCCTAATATTGTCTGCCGAGAAAGACGAGGTAATCCCGCCACATGCGGCAGATGACCTTGAACGCGAAGGGAAACGCTTTGGCCTGGATATCTCTCGGAAGCATGTTCTCGGAGCTCTGCATACAGAGATTCCGGTCAAGCCGAGTGGCAGAGAAGCTATGGTGGACTTTGTTGCACGATGTACATCTAGGCCTGCCGGGGTTAGGCGCAATGTTACTTAGTACCTTAGGAAATTGGCTGGCCAATTGTCCCTAATATATTCCAAATACTTTGATTTCATGCTACTAGCTCATGTAGCCTTAGTTTTGCATGCCTCCAAGTCTATATAAAGCGTTGCACTAGCTGGTAGGGGCAGACAAAAGGATCCAGTTGAAGGTAGGAGGTTATACTAATCCCCAATTCTTGAGTTTTACTGTGAAGCGAGAATGTGAGCCATCGTATACCCTTTCGACAGCCGGCGAAATCAGCCACAAAGATCGCAAGTAGTGACAAGGTGAGACGTTATATACAGAAACTGGATACAAATACTCGGTTCCACCCTTCTAAGCCGCTCAATACACAACTCGCACTCCCAGTACAAATGTTCAAAAATCCTCCATTCGAAAAACACTATACGACGGCTGCTCGTATGGATGAGCCCTACTCAACCAGTCAATATCAATGTCGATAACTTTCACTTCCACATCAGCCAAAACTTTAGCATACCTCTTTAACGCCTCCACAGCCTGCCGTGCAACATCTTCTCCCACACAGATCGTCTCAACCCGGACCTCTGGGGTCTCCTCCAAGGCCCCCACAGTCCCAATATGTGGGTTAGCAGCATCACCGGGGCGGAATTGGCCCGTTCCAGCAGTGGTCCAGCAACACTCGGTATACTTCCCACCGGGATAGCGGCCAGCCCCGGCAGCAAATATGGCGGCTTTGCAGGCCGCAAGGCCGGTGGGGGGGACGCTGAATATCAGGCGGAATTGAGTGGGAGACATGCTTGGAATGAAGTAATTTTAGGGTAAAAGCAGTGGGATCTGCTACAGATTTTATTTAGGGGAACGTGACGGGGATGGTTCCAAGAGTGGAGGAGAGTCGTGATCGTGAGGCTGTGTCTGTGTTTGACCCCTCACGCTTGCCTAATGTGGAATGGTGGCGTTGGTCTACCGATCTATTCAATGACCACTACTGAGTATAGGCACTTTCAATGGAACAAATTCAAGAGGCTTCCTTGATTTCCCCATGTTCATACACTCGATCTCGGTTTCTACATCCTGCTACCCTACCCTGTAGATCCCGGTCTATCTCCCGTGGTACGTTGTAGATCCAACCTGCCGAGTGGCCCGAAGCTCTGGACTGACATCCCTTCTGCTATTATATCATCATGCAAAAGAGATCGCTACTTAAACCATCTCAGTCCCCATCCGTCGCAATCTAGGTCCATATCGACCCAACAGAAACGGAATCGGAACAGCCACCAAACAAATGAACGCCAACAGCGTCGATCCCCTAGATAAGAAACTATTAGCAAACCCAGATCACCCAGGTCATAAAGCAGGACACATACCACCCATACCCCAACCTTCGATATAGCTGAAACCCAACCACCGAAAATACCGCCGCAACAATAAACCTCGCCACCACAGCAGCAGCAAGCGCACTAGCCGCATACTCCTCAAACGCATCGACCAAATACGATTGCACACAGATATACGCCGTGACCATACCCAACCCCAAAATAGCGGCGCCCACAAGCGTCACAATCCAGTGGACGTGATATTCCGCAGTCCATCCGAAAATCAGTAGGCCAATGGGTACGATCAGCATTCCGACTTGCATAAACGGTAGACGGAATTCGGGCATGCGCGTCGCTTTTCCAGTTTTTTGCTCGTAGCGGGCAGCGAAGTATCGGTATGATGGGTTGGAGTATTTCATACAGAAAGCGACACCGGCGAATGCGCCGATGCCGGCGCCGAGGAAGGCAAGGCCTGTGGTTCCGTGTGTCCAGTTGTAGCTGTAGAGGTTGTATTTGGGTTGAGAGGCGAAGAGGAGGGTGATCGTTACCATGTGGAGGTAGAGGAGGCCGAATACTCTGATCCATTAGTTAGTACTTGCCGGTCGATAGGTGGGGATTTCCAGTCACATACAATGCTAGGTAGAGACTCATGAACGTGCATATCGGTGAAAAGAAGAGAAGTCGAAGAGGACGCAGAATAGACTGTCGGAAGACCTGTGATGCGTGTGAGCCCATCTCGACCCGGTATGTGACCCCCGGGTTGGCCTTTTCCAGGGCTCTCTTCCGACGTTGCAGCAAGACCGGCGCATATGTTTCCTTCTGAAAGAGAACAGCGAGACTAGTAACGACACCAGCAGCTATAGCGACCACCCACATCATCCATCGCCAGCCATGCGTGCCGTAGGCAATAAACCCACCAATAACACCTCCGAGAACCGGACCACATATAGGTCCTAAGCCATACACCGCTTGAGCTTTGCCTCGTTCCTCGTGAGAAAACAGATCCCCGATGCTGCTGCCGCCTAGGCTAGGCCCTGCGGAGCCAGCCACGCCCGCTAGAAAGCGTAGAACAACCAGTCCGGCCATGTTATGTACCAATGTGCAGCCGATGTTGAGGAGAGTGAAGATGGCAAAGCAGATGGTATAGACGGGACGCCGGCCAAATATTTCCGAACATGGTGCCACGCCCAGAGGTCCTAGTGCGAGACCCACGAGGTAGAAGGCGATGGGGAGGGCTGGGGTATATGGGCTCGTTAGACGGAACTCGGTTGCGATGTCGAATACACCTAGCGTTAGAATAGTTGATGCGATCGGGGATAGAGTCCCTTGGAGAGATATCAGAAGCACATTGAGCCATTTCCGACTCTTTGGCCAGTGTCGGGGACATTCTGGGTCATCTGGTCCATTCCAGTCCTGTCAGGAGTTTAGTTAGAGATTCCTTGGATGGTTATTTTAGCGGAGAAAATGCAGTACTCACAACAACGATGGCATTGATGGTAGAACTTCCAACGTCCGGGCGTCTCTCCATGGTTTCGAGAGGACTACTGCTACCGGAAGCAAATTGCTCTTGTTCATCTCTCTGGATCATTTTATTGTAGATGAGGGACTGTCTGAATAGTAGCACATAATCTGGGGCCAAAAGTCTTGCTACAAATAGTCTGAACGACCTCGTTTCAAAGGTATGCAGAAGCTAGGGAGCAATGCTGCAAAATATCCATTTAGCATCCACCCCGCTTTTTCTGCAATAATTAATCATTTATACAGAATAGTGCGCTATATTTTCGAAGCCTAATCCGCTGGATGATTATGCACGTTTCCTAGCTAAATTGCTCCCGCTTGAGCATCATCCCATCTAAAGGGGTATCGATACGCCATGAATACGACCTGTCTGATAGTATATTGAGCAGAATACATCCCAGCGTGTGTTTAAGCTCAATCAAGACGGCCAGTAAAGCTTAGCCAGCATCACTGACAAAGCTTAGTCGAGAGTTATCATATGCCTAGAACCTTCAGCACGAGCAGAATTAAAGCTATCTCAGAAACAAGCCATGAGGGATTTCTGGAGAGGGGATTGCCTCTCAAGACTGTCATGTACCGCATCAGGGGTAGACCCTCGTGAGGTTCTCTAACGGCTGCCAGGAGAATAATACTTATTATTCGTTCCCGGACTGCACGCATAGATTTTTGCTGCAAGTAGCCGCTGGGTCGGCTTCTAGTCATGTCGTACAATGCCGGAGGATCATGGTGCGGGCTGGATATATCCACCCAGCTACGTTTTAAACGATCAGCAAGGTTCTACTAGCGTTGGGTGTGGCGCACGGGTACTACTGAGGCCCTCAGCGGCACATTGGACGAATATGGAGATTTCTCGCTTGGGAATCCAATGCAACACAACATGATCTTGTCATCCGATAAATTCGAAATGGTCGTTACAGCTATCGGGTAGATACATGGCAGCAGGGATGAAGAACGAAGGGGTACCTAGGGAGGGGATTGCTACTGATGAAGCGAACAAACAATCAGATCACCTGACCATCCCTACCCGTAAATGATCGACCCGTCAGCGAGCATAACATTATATGATTGAATAAATTAGGATTAGAATTAAGCATTCCACTAAACTTGCAAAGTTCCATAGTTTATCATCGATTCCACATTCCATCGATCTAAGGCTCCCGCACAAAAGTGCCCACCCACTCCCCCCAAGCCAACACACTCTCCTTCTCCGTCTCCAGCCACTGCAACAACTCCTCCTTTCCCCAAGGCTTCTCCTCCAGCGCCTTTCCCAACGCCAACACCTGAAAGAAATACCGATGTGAGCCGTGTCCCAATACCGGCCGCGGCCCACTCCACACATTCTGATGCCAGTTCACCCCGTACTGAAATCCCCCCTGTAACGCCCTCTTGCTCGCGTCCGCCACAGCAACATCATCTGAAGAAATACTGGTTTTGTCCTTTGAAAGTCCGTAGTACAGCCCATGCACGATTGGATTCGGCAGCGGCGCATCGGCATCCTCAACAATAAGCACGTAGCTGTTGATTTTCTCTGCGGGCACCGAGTCGTTGGGTACCGTCCAGGAAAGAGGCGGGAAGCGGTTCGCGCCAACCTGAGTGTATTCTGCGGGTAGTGGAGACTGCGATGGGCCCACGGACGAGGTTACCGCAATGGTGGGTTGAAGTGCCTGAAGAACAGGACTGGTTCGCGTGAGTAGTTTTGCGTCGCGGCCTCGTTTGTTGCGCAAGAGACGCCCCAGGAAGGCCTCGATGCGGGGAGGGAGTTTGTCCATGGTTAGATTGGTTGGGTTTTGGCCGGGGACTGTTGGAGTGTGGAAGTCATTAGTTGAATTTTGAGTTGGGTTGGCTAATACTATTTAACTGCCGATGGAGTGTCGAGAACTAACGCCCCTATTGTATGCCCGAGCCCGATAGCGGGCCGCACTTGAAAGGATTAGGAAAACAATGTATCCTAAAGCCTATATCCGGGCAGCCGTGAAAGGCATAGCTCAGGACCCACTAGGGATGTACTGATGGATCTTCACGAGCGGTTAGCCAGTATGGCTATCGGATAGTGCAGAGAGTTATTCCGACGGGATATTGGTTGAATTGGGCTGCCATTCTCACTTTGCTGTGGTCATCTGATGACGTGCCAGCCAAGGATGATGGCATCGGTAAACCCATGGGCTTCGTATCGGGACTTTCGGAGTTTCCCAATGTAGAAATAAGATACCATATGGCGACGCTACTGCGGCTCCTTTGGGTAGAAAAAGTTGGAATTGTTAAAGCACATCCCTGTATTAGACCCGCTGGTTAGGGGCTATGTAAGCTTAATCAATCTTATCGCCGGTTATGCACCGTAGTTGGGGACGGAAAGGGGAGAGAGGATGGCGCGGATTGATCATTTGACTGTCTCTGTCAACAATTGCGATATATTGCTATAATAGTGAGCGTTCTTCAACAAGTCGTCTCGATGGTGTAGTTGGTTATCACGTGGGTCTCATACTACAGTATGACGTGGAAGCATAACTTCCATGCGATCCCAAGGCCGGGAGTTCGAACCTCCCTCGGGACAGATCTTTTTTCTTTTCCTTCCTTTTTTCTTCCGCTTTGAATCAACTGTTCTTCTCTTCGGAAACAAACTCATTATCATTTTTTCGCTCCTTTTCTTTATGTAGTTAATTTTCAAAACACATCACAGGCTTCCCTCATACATACTGGTAGTACTAGTAGCCATCTTAAGTTGCTTTCAGATCCTCAACGTCGACTTCAGATTGAATAAAGCCGACCTTCGGCAAAATATATTTCAATCACGCTAGTACTATGACCGGTGGGTGGAGTCATTCTTCAGCAATATCTACTACCACTTTCTCTCCTCATAACCCTTTCCGGCCCTATCATCATTAGTTGCCAAACGGCCTTTTCTAATCCTCAGAGTACTAATTGAGGCAGCGTATAGAATACCCTCCTCCCACATGGCTAGTATACAAAGTGTCCAGGTGAAGTCGACTTTGCGCTGCCAATCATCGTCACACATCAATCATCTAAGTGCGACCGGGTTTTATACGTGGAAATCTGGCTGATCTGCCCCCGTTAGATATTCAACCAAAAACATCTCGAGAACCTCTTGCTCTTCGGGTCTTGTAGCTAGCTCCACAACCCTGGAGACAGCATGGCCACCTGAGACCACCTCTCCGGACCAAGGAATCGTAATTTCAAGTCGCTCGGGCGTATGCTGCGTGTAACCTGAGTCGTCCACGAGGTCGCTATACCCAGGGAGGGTCCTCTTGAACTTCCACCTTACTCTGAACCTCAGGTTTTCGGGGACAGCAACAGCATTTTCCATAACACGATGACGAGCGTTTGACATTTGCCATATGAAGGTTGCCAGAATAAACAAAATGTCCGGTTCGTACTTGCGGTTCTCCATAGACCAAGCCATAAGGGCTCCGAGCCGAGAATATCTTTCTTCAAAGATTCGGGTCTCAAGTCTCCTTTGCACAAGGAAGGCACTATATTGCCTATTTCTCCAGATGCCATATCATACCCAAGGTCAATGAAGTCATGCACCGCCACCAGCGCACCCAAAATGAGAACTGAAGTGTCGTCGCCTCGACTGTCGTAAAGCCCATTCGCGAAAACGCCATCGGTGCAACGGAACGCACACATGGCTTTGAGGTCGTCCCATACAACATACCCCGGCGCCTTCTTCCCAGCGCTGCGAGCAGCCTCTTCTCTTTCCATCTTGAACTTGATTTGCACATAGTTAGCAAACTTCAGAGTCACCCCGTCGCCCACATATTCGTGACCAATACCGCTCGCCACTTTCACACAACGGTTTCTGATCGCCTGCAGCTCTGCATCGCAGTCAGGCCGACTTCCGATCGCGTAGTCGTACAGAAACTGATTGTCTTGCATTGACCATACCCCGCCGTACGCTCCACCATAGACGAAAAAGTCAATAGCGCAACTCAGACTGTACACACAAGTATTTCGCATAACTCCCCTGGCCTCGAAAGCCTGGAAAATCTTTGCCATATCGGCACTTTGGACCTGACCGACACCGTCTCCTTTAGGGAACACATCTCCCTCGAGCGCGGATGGCCAACCTGAGTTGGGAGCGCAGGAACAAACGTAATATACCCTTTGGAGACTGGTACCCCCTTCACGCTTGCAGCGGCTTTCGCATTCAAGCTCAAGTCGACTGAAACTATTGCCGAGACGATAAGATTCCCGATGTCCCCAACAGCAACTTTCGAGCAAACAGTGGCCTGGTCACAGCGTCAACGGCGACACATAATCTGCAACTACAACCCTCGGTGGACCGACCCAGGCTAGTGGCCGTATGAACATAATCAAAATCTGCTACAAGCGCACTGTCGACAACAGAGCTAGGTAGGGATAAGACCCATGTCGCGCAGGTAATCTGGATCGATTGCAGCTTTATCCAAACTCATACCAACTCTCAATGGTGGGTCTGCTCCGCTCTTTTCCCAAGAGGCGTTAAAAACGTCCTGCATACGAGGCCTATGGATCGCTGGCACCAGTCGCCAGAAGCTCGTCAACGATTCTTCAGATCTCTTCGAGTGCTTCTGAAGCTCACGCATAGACGATTCTACCCAGAAGAGATCTCGAGCAGGTGACTTCCTCTCGAACCATAAGTTACCGCATGCCATTCCGTCAAGGTAAGGGCAACGGCTTCCGCCTAGGCCTGCTCCCGTGAGTCCGGGAGTCATGCCGCTGCTGGTAAGACTGGCAGCCTCAGACCCCTGGCTTTTCAGCAACACTCGGTACGTATTTTGTTTTCCATTGATGATTCTTTCTTCGGTCGCAGGGGCACAGCTTGGCTCTGTGCATCCTGACTTCGAGAGGTCGTCAACATGATCAGGAGAGCCGGGTTTCACAATCTGAAAGGAGCCTTCGACGGCGTATCTAGCTTGGTGGGTACCGTCGAATTCCTGCGAAACGAGGTCTTCCAGCTTCTCGAATGAAGCTATGTTGGATTCCTCGAGAAGCCACACGAGAAGATCTTGACCGCAAACTGTCGACATAGTCTATACTCACTTGAAGTTAGTCTTACTCTGTTTTTTTGGGAGGTTCTCAGACTAACGGTCTCTTGTCGATATCAGCGGGAACTGAGCAATGGCGGAGTTAAATTAAATGTCTATAGATCGGCAATGTGGCGTGACTACGTGTGATGAATAGATATGATATTGAAGGATAATCCAGTAGAAGCCGGAGTGCGCTATAGACCATTTATAGATCAGAGGCATAGAATTGAACGTCACGATTTATCCTATTGTCCTCTATTTCCCCGCTATGTTATAGTCCCAATTCGTCCACTTACCTTGAAGTAAAAGTTCTAGAAATAAGTATCTGCTATCTCAGGGAATGTTACACAAGCCAAAGCAATTCCTTGTTCAATTTGTATAACGTGGGCGCTGATACATACTATATCAGCTTATTCATGAATCTTCTTCCAACCTTAACCCGAACACATTTCCTCTCAAGACTTGTTCTGTTTTAGTGCAAGGGATAAAGGGAGGTTATCAAATAGGAAATCTTCCATAACGCCTTGCTTTGTGTAACGGATGTTTTCTCTTTGTGGACCTAATGTACGTAATGCGCTGTCATTCACCAGCATTAACTATAGAGAGCAAACTTTCGACTACTCGAATGACAAGTGCGCAGATCATGCCCTTACAACCGCAACGCATGACTTTCATGCTGCCGGAGCCTGATGCATACCCCACGAAGGGAAACATTTCCCGATGATGCAGAATACATTGGGAAGTTCTTTTGCTGTCAACACAACTAGATGCATTATGGGCATGCTACATTCCTGGACAATGTAATTACAGTTAATGGTGAAGCTCATCGGGCAATTATTCCGATCGGTTCAAAGCAGGGATCCCGAACCCGCTGAGTAATCTAGCATGCGTCTCGTCCAAAGCTGCTGTCCTGATTTGAAGGAGAAGGTGAGGGTTGGAATTCCACATGGAGTTCCCATAATCATCTTCATAGGATAAAGTAAAAGACAATCTAGTACATACGACCATAGGGTGTGGAAAACAGGGCTTCCCGTCCGCTCAGCCGTACTTAAGCCACACGCCGGGAGGTTAGTAGTTGGGTGGGTGACCACCAGCGAATCCCTTCTGTTGTATGTTTTTTTATCTTCTATTTATTTTTGTTTCCTGTTTTTCTTGGCTTGGATGTTCAATTTTATTCACTTCCGTTGGAAATCATCGTGGTGACGCTGAAACGCGTGGCCATTTTCTCATTAAGAGATCTGGTGCGCGAGCTTGCAATTTAGATCTAAATCCCCTGCTACGCGAAGGTATCCTTGGTTTAGGCCGTTCAGGCGATGGCGTGCATGAAAGCTGATCTGATATCCATGAGAAAGAACTTAATCTAGCACAGAAGCTCACCAGTGACATAGCTCAGAGTGTAAGTAAGCCACACTCAAGGAGTCGACGATCTTAGCGACCCAAGCACTGAACGGATGCAACCATCAGGGGTAGGCAATCTCTAGGAGAGCGTTGCCCTTGAGATACAGGAGATATTCGGGCCTGGCATTTACCAGGCGTGTAATTGCATTGGGGGTGCCAAGCAGATTGTCTTAACAAAATACTTCGTGATGTTGTCATAGACCTAGGACATATTTCCGGCATCATCGGCCCACTTCTGAAGAGCAACGAAGATACATCAATGATAGCTAAAGTAGCAGAAGGCAGGGCTACCGCCGATCTGGAACAAAGAAAAAGACTTTCTCAGCGAAAGCCCCAGCCCGCCACGGAGGTTACAGTTAGACTTACCATCTTTTCACCGGTAAAGTTCATGACTGGGTAAATAGATTGCTGACCCCAGTGTTAGTAATGAAAAGCTGGCTGGCCCTGACGTAGCACCACTGTCCACCGGAGTTCCAGTAACCTTCCAAGAATACTGTACGTCGTCACAAGGCGAGGTGTGGCTGTCATCGAACAGTTTGATGTATTTTGGCACCTCACCCAGGTTGCCCATCAGGTGCCTCCTATTGGGTGATGGAGTATATTTCCAACAACGTTTTCGGAAGGCTGGCTATCAGCACCTAGGGCCCAGGACCCAGACTTCTTCACAGTTCGAGTCTGCAACCGACTGCAGGTTATGGCGTCTGCAAAGAGGCCTGGGTAGCAGCGACTTTCCACGTTCGGCCCACAGGAATGGAGTGGGGCTACAGTCTGGACTCGAAGGCCCCAAAATAAACCTAGTCTTGTCCGGCTGCGGCTGTTCGACGCTGATCCACAAGGCAATTCAAATGGGTATGGCCGCGGAGGTACTTCAGATCACCATGACACGTTGCATATGGTACGACGGCCAGCCGCATCTCATCCCACCTTTCTCCTAAAGCCAACCAGAGATGGACATGATATGGAACCCATGGAATGAAAGATCGAGAGTATGCAACCGGGTGAGACAATGGCATCCGCTATTCCGCGGCTGCTACCCTAATATTTGCACGACTTGTGCAGTTTCCAGGTTCCTCCCCACAACACAAGCCGAAAGTTCTATGAGGTGTGAACCTGCTATAGTAAGATTATTAACTATACGAGGCCTTTGACCTTCAGTCGTGACTCTCTAAGACTTATCGCAACTCGAAGTTTCATGAGGCACCAAGATTAGCACCAGAACTTAATATATCTGGGCTATAATGCAAGAAAAATGACATTCATGATACTTCGTTGATGGTCAAAACTACAGAGTGCTAACCTTTATTTGGCTAGCATTTACCAGGTCCATTAACCAGAAATGAGTCCTTTAGAGTAAGGAGGGTGCTTCTGATCTCGAATACCGCTGTGCATAATGTTGCGTGTAGTATCTAACGACAAAAGGCATGCTAATGCACTCAAGTGCGTCACTATCGACTTGTATACCACCCTAAAGATAAGTGGCATCGAGGTTCGAGCAGGCTGGTCAGCAGGCCGTGAAGATAGTACCTTTCCCCAAGTAGAAGCAATTGGTGTAAGACGCCGTCATCAGCTGGAGCTAACCATGGTAGATTTATATCATGTATGCTTTCGGCACACATCCGCGATATACAGTTGTATCTGCATGCAGTTGACTGTAGCAATAGACTGACGTTCATTCATGTCATTATTCCAGCTAAGTCGCTACGTGGTTCAGCTTGACCCCCACACGGGGCGGGGGGGGGGGGGGGGGGGAGGGTTGCATGCAACTCCCACACATTCCTATT